TGCCAGCTGATGAGCTGCCTCATTCTTTCCACTATGATGCCAGCTCTTCCCTGTCTGTGTGCACTGAACTCCCTCTGAATCTCAGCCTGACCCAGATCCAATGCTGCTGTCAGAAGTCTGAGAATCAAATCCAGCTTTAACCACTCGATGGATGCTAATAACTACAACTGTGGTTGGAGGTGGGGCTTTGGTGACAGTAGGCAAAGTAAAGAGGCTTTGGCTCCCAGCCACTTACTATTACCACTCTTCCACTGATTTATTCTTTTTTTTTTTTCCCCCTCATTCTCCCCAGTCCACAAACATGCATCCATTCCCCAGTCCAACTCTCAAACCTTTACAAAATCTTCAGTACATAAAGTGTTTGAGTTAACACAGATAATATTTTCAGAACTGAGTTTGGGAGCAGCCACACACCGGTTCGTGTAAATATATCATATGGGGAAAACATCCAATAGGGGAAGCAGCAACAACAGTCAGTGGACACTCTTCCTGAAGCATAGCATGAGCTGATACACACGTCTGCATGTTTGGCATATTTTCTGTGTATTACAACCTACAAGTAAAAAATAGGGGATCTCAACCCTAATGAAGGAACTGAGTAACTATTCAGCCTCTGCAACAGAATAGTTCACTTACACAGAGGCTGCAAAGTGTTCCACAGCAAAGACTTCCCTGCCTTGCACACACTGTTGGTACACAATAAAGGAAGAGGTACAGCTGTTCATGAAGTAGAGTGTAATCTTGACTTGCTCTAAGAATAGGCCAAGCTGCTTCCTCCAGTTTGTATGCAAATTTATTACTGAAGACAATGGATGTATTTGATGGAAAAAATTCAGGCTTGGAATTGGAATCTCTCAAGGGACCACTGGAATCAAAGATCTTAAGCAGCCCTTTTCTTTCTAAAAATTTTTAAGTGACAAATATTTACATATTTATCAAAGTGATCCTTGTATCCACTGAGTACTTAGTTACAGATGCTAGGAACAGAACATCACTGCAAAGGGAGACGGTAAGGTCAAACAACCTCCATTTATCCTTTAAAACACCATTACCAATTCCCAAAGCACTCATGAAAGTCTGCAAGATAATCCATAGTGAAGCACCAGACATCCCCAAACACTGATACTATCTAACTGAGCTATCAGTTGCACCAAGAGCCAGCTAAACTGCTTATTGTACGGACCAGCAGTCTCAAAGTACATTTTCTTATTATGTATTCAAACTGTGTGCTGTCTTCAAACTCCTACAGCACAGTCTTAAAGACCCTATTTTCAGTTAAGCAATGAACAGTAATTGTAAAGGTTCAGATCTTTAATTGAAGGAAAATAGATTCACCATAGTTGCAGCATGACATAGAACTGAAGAAAATACGTAGCTTAAGATTTTTCTTCTACTTCTTTTAACACCTGAAATTGTATAAGTGAACTATTCTGTTCAGCTTTTATCATCTTTTGAAAATAATCAAAAACTGGCCTTCTTTACTCTTCAGTGCGACAGCATCAGGTAGGAACATGTTACCACAGGATACTTCAGGAGATCTCAGCTGCTGTGTTGCTCCTGAACAGGACCACACCATACACACAAACTGAGGATGCTGGAGAGCTTGTAAGCCAGCTCTAAGGATGGGACAGCCTGCTGTGAGCAACAAGCTCTCACTGCTCTGCCCAGAGATTCAGAACACTTCCAACTCAATCTCGCATCTTGGTGGAACAGGACAATCCACAGGAAACCATTCACATCTCCTATCTGCAGAGTTTCCCCCCACCCATCCCCAGACTGCCCAGAGCACATAGGAGAGGAAAGAATGACACAAATATATCCATGAATGAAGAACTGTTTTAACCTCCTGTTGCATTCCAAAAGATGGGACAGATGTAAGTGGTCACATATTCAGAGCAGGTTAAATCGACTTGTTCGATGACTAACAAAATTAACCAGGTGACCATTAAAATGCAAACTAAACTTTAGAAAAATACCAATAAACTTAAGCATTTACCATTGGAGACGTGAGTTTTTCCTTAGATATTACACAAACAAGATACTTAAAAACTACGCAGGAGTGAATCTGCACATTCCCAAACCTTGCACACTAGGGCGGGTTCTTTTTCTTAATTCTTATTTCACACCACATTAACATGAATTCAAATATGATATAGCACCTGGTTAAGTTGTATTTTAGTTCAGTTAAGGAACCTCTAAGAATCTACTTCTTTATTCACTGATGCCAAGCACTTTAGAGATCTTCAGCTATGACTGCTTTGATGATGGATATTGGTTTTCTCGTTTGTTTTTTACTTTAATACTAAAAGCTTTTCAGACTTTAGATATTCCCTGCCATTCTCTAGCTAGCAGCATTTCCTCTTTAAAAGACTGTGCCAAGGGTCACTCAGATTTTACAGGAATTGGGAAGCCCTGAAAGCAACAAAGCCCAGATTTAGGGAAGTCTTTGTCCTTATTTTTAAAAGACTGCTTACTCCACACTACTAGTTTAAAGGCTCTGACCTCCTAAGGTTTGCAACAAACAGTTTTAGGCCGTATTCAAAGGTTTCTGAGTGCAGACAACCAGTTTAGAATGAAAATAGGTTCCCTGAAGAGTTAATCTGAAGTATGATCTATTTATTGCACTCAGAACAGCAGTGCTTAAAAAAAGCTAACAGCCCACACAAGGGCTGCAGGTCGTTCAGCATCAAAGGTTCAGCATCATTTATATATCTGAGTGAAAAAAATAAAGAGGATGCCTTCATTCGGGCTGGCCAAATTCTCACTATGCCAGATGTGTCCACAACTGGCACACTACTGACCAAGACTGTCCTTGTCAGCAGAGGGAGAATAGGGTTTACTTCCAAGAGGATTGTATATATACACACACACACACACACACACACACACAAACACACACACACACTCACTCCTCCTTTTCCCCCACATTCCAAGCTAAACCTAATGCAATGCATTTGATCAGATGAGGACTGGGCATGTGTTCCCTAGTACAGAGGTATTAATGAATCTGTCACTCTGGTGTAGGATTACTGTATTCAGACAAAGGGAATGAAAGCTGTTGGATGATTGCTACTGAGGTTCTGCTCAAAGTATTGCTAGAGCAATAGACTTGATAGCTAGAAGGGCAAGGTAGTATCTGTGACCTGTATTTTATTCTTGGCCACACATACCAAATCAGTAAGTAGCATGCTTCCTGCTTCTCCATGCAAAGAGGGAGTATTTCTCAGAATTGTTCCTATTTGAAAGAGGGCCAAAACATAAACGGTTCCCAGACACGGCCACACTTTTAGCTCTGGTGGTTAGCAATAGGGAGGCAGCAAGATAATCCTGTGAGCCTAAGTCAGCCAGAAAACAGCAAATTACATTGACCAGGAAGCCACTACAGTGCTGTTTATTCCAGTCCAAACTTGGTGTGAGTTGTAAAAGGGAAAGAACACCGACTGCACCTTCACCAAGGCAGCTTGTCAGAATAGTGGGCTGCTTCTATGTGCAGAACACTTGGGACACCAGAACTGTACACACCGCATTCAATCTTTATCCAGCTGGGATGCACGCAGCTGTAGCATAACTCAGAGGTAACGTGCTTATAATAGCATTAAACAAGATTATTAAAAAAAAGCAAACAAGATTTACATGCACTGCACAGCTCCCACAGCATTGGGAAGTACAGCTGTGTACTTCACCTGCCTGTGCATTTGCAATTTTACCAGCTACCCATATGACTGCAAAAAAGTGTTCAGAAATCAACTTCTACCCATAACCAACAAAGACTGGAGGTTCTGTTGTTCCTGTTTGCTTTGTTTGTTCTCCTCCCCCCAGGTAGGTCCTTCTGTAAAAGAAAAGCCCCTATTCTAGCAAATTCTTGTAAGAGAGCTCAGCAACAGCATGAATGATCAGAAACTAATTTAAAATCCACTGATGTATAAATCCATTCTACATCAGTACCTCGCCGAGCAGAAAGGAAGCAAAAGACTCAGGACTTAATAGTGCACCACAGAAACAAGCTGCATTCCATCTCTGGCAATTGCCCCTCTTAATTAGAAATCCTTTTGCAGCATGAAGGCCCAAAGACTTAGAGCACATAAAATCTTCAGATTAACAGAGTTTAACATCCTGTAATGGATTCTTTACCTTCCGAGCAGAGCAAGAGCTCCCAGCAACTGTTACAACTGTGCACGAAACAGTGCACAAACTTGTATCTCCTCCAAGGAAAAGGATGATACAAGGAAGCTAAATATTTTAAGGGTTCTTTTCTAAACTGTCTATTCTAAACACATTAGACCATTTTCTAATGGTCTATTCAAAACACAAATTAACAGAATCTAACCCTTCCAACATCAGGGTGAAAGGATAATGGCTAAGATGCCCAAACACTTTGGACTGAGAACCTGAATGTGCTTTACAGGGAAAACAAAACAAAACAAAAAACAACAAAACACACACACAAAAAAACCAAATGCAGACATCCCATCCAAAACCATGAGAATAACCTTACTCTTCTACCAAAAGCAGCAGAGCAGGAATGAAGTTATAGACATCACCAGAGGAGGCAATTTTCTAGTCCTGTGCTGCAAACACAGAATTTCTTACTACAGTGATCTTGAGATAAGTGTTGTACCCAGTGATGATACAGTGATAAATGAGGTGCTCTGGAGTTCAAGAAAAGGGATTCTCCAAAACCAGTTTTGCCATGCAACATGTGGAGTAGCAAAACTTCTCACAGCTATAAATGTACACCAAATGAAAGTTCTTTGAATTCTTAGATGCACTTTGAACTTCCATAGCAAAAATCACATCCTGTGCCAATCGAACTCAATTGGCATTTAGGGTTACACTCCCTCCTGCTTCTCAAATTAAAACCACAAGCCACAGAACCCTCAAAATAAGCTTCTGAGAAAGTGTCTGCATGGAGCAGAAGTACACAGTGAAAAAAAAAACAAAAAAAACCAAAAAAAACCCCACACAAACACAGTGCTCAGAAAATGTAAAATATTACTTACGTCAGCATAGTCCCGTGTCCTCAGCTAAGAGGGCCTTGAACATTCATTTGCATGGATATATCTGATTGTGCTGCACCACATTTTCCTTGAAAGCTCTAACAACTTATTTCATTTCACACACATGATGGCACTGCAAACTAAAACGGATTTTATGAGCACTGAGATCACAGCAACCAAAGCCACATGAAGATGCACAGCTAAGAAGGACACAATTTACTGTATGATACCATATTGTTTCTTAATGCCATTCATTTACTCCTCCCTGATGAACAGGAAGGGTTAATGCACAGAACTCCATACTACATTACTTAAACTCCCCACAACACAAACTGCTACACTGAAGGGCATTCAATGCGACAGCAACACCTATTTTGATTAGTCTTGAGTCAAGCTCCTCAACTGGTATTCAACTGTTGCTCCAACTCCAACTGTTAGGGAATCAACAATCAAGCAGTTCCCCTGCTTTTTCCCTGCTACAAGAGAAAGAAGTAAAATACAATGACATTTTGGCATTATTTTGGTTAAGATGCCACTGTTTCACTAATGAATTATCAGTCTGTTTGCTATTTGAGTCATCACTTTCAGAGTTTGTACTGGCCAGAGCCTGAAACAGTCAGCCAGTGATGAAAACAGGTACTTTTAAGGTAATTCAAGTGATTATTTCCACAAGATTGAAGTCACGTACATTAATAGCTCATCAATATCCTGTGTGGAGGCCAATCTCTGTTGTTTAATCAGTTCCTGTGAGAAGATAAAACATTCACAAATAGACCAATGCCTGGGTATCCATAATAGAGTTGAAAAAAAGCAATAACCCTCTACAGCTGTGGGAGATGAGGATATCAGCGAAAAATCAAACACTGTACTCATGCTTGCAGCACTTCATGCAGTCTTTGAGTAGTCAGCCCATGCTTATCAAAATTCCCCAGAACAAATATCTTCAAAACAGAACAAACAAAGCAATCAATAATATCAAGTCCAGCTACAGATGGATGCCATTAATTGCTAGGCAAGTAATATCACCATATTAAATTAGTATGCCAACAGAATAGCCTCAAAAAAAAAAACAGTAACTTTTCAGTCTCAGTCTTCCTTGCAAATTATTTCCATATATTTGTTCTGCAGAGAGCTATCTGACACAGCGATACAACTACAGGTACAGGGTCAAAGATACAGAAAGCATTCTTATCCTCAGCTTATCCTAGCCAGCACTGACAGCAAGTTTAGGAAACCAGAAGACCACTTGGTAAAACACAGTTAAGCCAAAAAAAAAAGAAAGAAAAAAAAAAGAGAAAAGTTTACTGCAGTGATTTGCACTTTGTGGATTGAAGTTCTTGGGGGCTCTTAATTACCACTAAGAGCTCAAAATGAAAGCTTTGAAAGAAATAATCCTGCTCTCAAGGCATTTAATTCTACAACACCTTGGGCAGTAAGACCTACAGAAATATTTACAGTGCTTCAGTAAGTGCACATATGCTCAAGGCAACTTCACATCCAAACCAGGTCTAGCAGTTTGAAATCTAATGCTCTTCAGAGCTGCAAAACAACCAAGTTACCAAAAAGCTCCCTATTAATCTACGACTTCACATGAATTCTGTGGCCCTTCCTTTGCTCCTGACTTTAAAGAGTCCCCTTCTCAATCTTCTAGGTAAAGAGAACAGTGTTCCCCTGTGTCCCTAACCCATTTATTTGACCATTTTTCCTTCTGTGTGCTCACTGGATCTGAAAAATATTCTTTCTCCTCCCAAGACGTGGGAATTTATACATGCTCACACAAACATGCAAGAAAACAAGGGCAGGCTCCTTTTGATTTCTTTCAACTGAATAGACAGATGTAGGTGTAAGAAAAATACAATGAGAAGTACTTTATTTTTCCATGCATTTGTCAGTTCCAGTCAGTATTATATCTTTAGATGTGCCTATTATTCTACCAGTTATTACAAATGGCATGAAATAAATGAACATGGTGCGTCAGTTTTACAGACTATAGAGTTCAGGATCTGTAGTACCAGTGCAATTCAAACATGCTGAGGAAAGCTATTTAGACAGAAATTACAACAGTCTTTTCTCTTTTCCTGATGAAATACAGCCCTCCTCCCATCCCTTTGTAGCTCTCTCTCTCTCTCTCAAAAAAAAAGTAGGTCCTAAAAAGGTAGCTTCCCCTTTTGCCTTCTAGAGCATTAAAGAAAAATTAAGATTAAAAAAAAACACAACTGGAACCAATAAGAACACATAAAAGCTTTTTCAAGCTTCACTGCTCTGTCCCAAGAGGTTACCTGCTTTGCTGGGAAAAGCTGCTTACAGCCTTTGAAGGGTCAGGACAGAAGATTATTTAATTAGGTGGCAGCCCTCAGCCTGGGTTAGCAGAGAGGCAAATGCTCCATGCAAAATACATCCTGTGACATCTGCAAGTAAAGAATGTTTGTATGAAGATCAGCACAAAGGGAGAGAAAGATACGCTCAAAGATACATCGTATCTACATGTGCACACATATAAGACACAAATTTTTAAGCAAATAAGAGAAAGGTGAGGCACCACAATTAGCAATTTAAAAGGAGCATGCTATGAAAGAAGTGCAGCAGGAGCCCAGCCACATAAACAGGGGCATGGAATTTGTTTTCCAGGCCAAGTACTATGCAAACCACATCATTACTGTTTATGACACCAAAGAACATAAACAGGTACATAGTTAACTTACCTGTTCATTTATCTGTAACCATAACAACCTTCCATTAAATTAAAATATACACTTATCCAAGTTTTAATGGTTATAATTATGCTGCAAAATGAGCTTTATTAAGGCCCAGGAAGTGACAAAATGCAGAACTGCCTGAAACTTTAAAAATAGATTCAAACATTGGTACCTGCAGGAATACTATTCAGAAATGTGATAATATAATGTAAATGATTAAAGGCAAGTCATGGCTTTCTGCACTTGGTTACACACTAACAAGTGCCATTTTGCATTTTTAACATCTTTTAGAAGCTGGATATAAAAGTAGCTTTGACACGTTGACACAACAAAAAAAAATTAAAATTAATTACTGTGACTTTGTACTGCATCGAGAGATTCAAAACTGTGAACACTGACATAGCTGCCTTATGAGATAAAAAAAATATATTTTCGTGAGCTCTTGGCTGTCTCTACTCAAAACCTAAAAAGGTAACGGTTAAGGTATTGTATTTCTCATTGCTGTTTATTTTAGTCCCATCACTTCCTGCTGTAAAAATTCTAGCCATATTCAACTTGGATTAGCCAATTTTTACTCTAGATTTGCATCTGTTAGATAAGGCTGCAGTGGCAGAGAGATAAGCAGGAATGCTGTTTGACATTAGAATTTCTGCCCAGTCAGTTTTAATACTAGTTTTTATTCCCAGATTTTTATTTTTTAGCTCCCCTGAGAGCAGCTGCATTACCTGGCAGTGAAAGAAGTGGGGTCTTCCTTGCCCGGGCTGGACCACTTCATGCTGTACCATCTCTTGCTGTGGCAAGGCTCAGGTTCCTATCACCAAGGCCTTTTCTCCTATTTCACTATTAAAGTAAAGCTTATGGTTCTGCATTACTGTTTGTTTTGCTTTCTTTTGGTGCAACTACTTTTCATTTGCCACCATTTGGTTTTACTCGTTGCCACATACTCATTTCCTCATAACTGCTAGATTTTTTCCTCTGCAATCTCTTTATTCCTCCCAGTCAAGCTTATCCCTTTCTGCAGACCTGAAAGCATGCTGAGTACCAGCTCCATAGCAGAACCTGAGGTATGTTTTTACACATACTTTCTAAGAGCTGCGCATTTATCACCATGCTTTAAGTCTATTAGATGACAAATTCTTATCTGTTCTAGAGCTCCATATTTACACGTTATCTAGCTTCTAGAACAGACTTTTGTACCAAAGATTCCCTGTTCCTCTCATCATTTACACACTGCCAGCTCAAGATTCTGCTGTGTTTTGGTTTTTTTTTTCCCCCAGGAACTCTGAAGGTGACCTTTGCTGGCCACAGATCAGCTCAAACTCCCACAAACAACAGTGATAAAGCAGTTATTTTCCTGAGAAGCTAAAGAAAAAAGAAAACTACTGTTTTAAATTGGGGAGCTCATGCTCAGCTATGCTTCTAAGTACCCTAATATGGTTTTAAATAACCCAGTGTTCCCTTCTCACACAATTAAGGTTGCCATTCCCCTTGAGCTCGGCAGGATGGATTTGCCTTTCCCTGGCAAAGTACCTTGCTATTGCGAGCCAAATATCAAACACCTGAAAGACAACATCAACATGGTACGGAATTTATTCTTTGGCAGCATTAACACAGCAACATTCCATACATAATTCTTATTTACTATTCACCACTTCATTCATCGCACCATTGCAAGCACAGCGTTATGGTGCTCCAAAAAAACAAAAAAACTCCAAACATATTCAATAGAGCAACCACAAAGAAATACAACAGCAACAAAGAGAACATAGCATTCATGTGTGAGGGTATGTTACTTTACCCTTCACCGAGACTTTTAAAGGCACCACTTGGCCTACTTGAAACTTGGCAATATGCAGATCGCTCCCCAAGGGTCAGCCTTATGCAAGCAGTCACGCTGCCCTAAATCTCACCTCAAAAACATTATTTAGACTGCATCTTTTAGCTTGTACTTATCAGTCCTTTTATTTCGTAGATTATCCAGCACGCAAAGCCAAACTACAGGCACTGAAACAACACAGAGGTAGGCAGGCTTTTAACAACCACCACAGCACAAGATGCATCCATTAGTTCTGCATAACCGCACACGAACGCGACAGCTCCCTATAAACCTGCACAACACCAAGCGCGTTCCAAAGACCTGTGGAACGTGTCCTCGCGTCCTCTGCCTGCTTCTACTTTATTTTGTGGAAAAGTACTAAAAAAAAAGGAAGCAAGAGCTCCAGCAATGAGGCTTATATAGCAGACTCCACAAGAGAACGAGATGGCACAAGGACAGCCTACAAAGACCCCCGAAGAAGAAGCCACAACAGCAGCAGCGCACCCCCCACCGACCGACCCACACCCTCAGCGCCGCCGCCATTTTGTCCCGTTCCCCACCACCCCCTCCCGCCGCAGACGCCGCGGCCGCGCTCCGCCTCCTTCGCGAGGGCGGCGCGGGGCGCGGCGGTGCCCGGATGTGGGAGGCTCCGCCCCCGCCGCCGAGCGTTACCGCCGCTCGCGCCCCCGCCCTCGCTAGCTGCGCGCCGTTGCGGGTCAACGCCAGCAGCCACTGCCGCAGTGAGGGAGCGGAGCGGGCAGCGGGCCCGGCGGCGGCGCCCAACGTACGCGCGCGACAGCCAGAGTGGGGCTCGGCGGATCCGGCTGCAGGGGACGACGCCTGACGCCCACCCGCCACCATGGTGAGGAGCCTCCCCGCTCCCGTCCCGACGAATATTCCAGGCCGGGCCGCGCGGGTGGGCGGCGAGGGGGGAAACCGTGGTGTGGGCTTTCGGACCCGTCTCCTCCTCCGAGCCTTCCACGTCCTTCGCGGGTCGGTGCCGCGCTTCCCTCCCCTCCCCCCCCGATTCCCCTTCCTCGCTTTTTCCCCCTTCTTTCCCCTCTCCCTGGGGGCGGCCGCGTCCCCCGCTTCCCCTCCGCCGCCCCCGTGCTCCCCGCAGCGCGGCGGGGGTTCGCGCCGCCCCTCGCGGCCCTCAGCGCCGCCTCCCGCGCGGCTCTCCCTCCTTCCCTCCCCTCCTCCGCTCCTCTCCTCTCCCCAGGTGCCGCCGCTGCCCCCCGCCTCGTTCTGCCCATCTCCGGCCCGGGAGCCGTTGGGGCACGAAGCCCGTGGCGGCGGGCGAGCCGGCCGGGTGCGAGGAGCTCCGTATCGGAGTCTCTCGGCTCCCTTTAATCATGGCGATTTAAATTTCCCTTTTACTGCCGTAAAATTAACCCCGAGATACGGCGCCGAGCCGTGTAGTATTGCGTGCCGACACTAGGGGTGTCTCCTGCCTGCCACCGCTGCCAAGAAATCAACGCCCTGTTTTAACAAACACGTATTCCAGCCCAAATTCTCCTCTCCCGGGCTGTGGCAGCGTTCTGGCGTTGCAGTTGCAGGACTGCTGGTGGCTTAAGCTTTTCCATTCTTCCCTCCCCAAGAGCGAGGCCAGCTGTCTGTCACCGCCCCGCAGGGCCCAGCGGCTCAGAAGGGGCTCTTCTCTTGTTTTTAAGCGGGGGTTTGTGTTCTCTGCCTTAAAAACTGAGCTACGTGGCACGCTCATTGAGCTTCAGTGGCTGTTACATGTGAATTTGAAGAAGCGGAGGCTGGGTTTGTTGTCAGCTGTGGCCTAAAACAGTGTGAGTAACGAATGGCTACATGCCCTCCTTGGAAGGCAGAGAAGGAGAATTACTGAGGTTAGAAGCTTAAAAGAACCAGAGAGTTGAAATTATAAATGATACTGCAGTTGTGGTTCTGCTGATGGTGCTGTGAAGATCCAGGTGAACACTTGCCACCTTCCAGGCACCAGCTGGGCTCATAATGCCATTTGCTGGGGCTTCTGAGGAAATCTTGCTCTCCAGGACTTGCCTGATGCCAGCATGCATAAAAGGAAAGGAAATGTTATTTGGCAGTGATGCCCATGAGTGTATTAGTAGCCTGTAAGGAATCGGACTTCTGTGTATGATAACTTCCATTTTTTTCCTTTATTCTGCCTTAAATGAAGCTGCCGTGACATCTCCTGCTGATATTTAATCACACTGCTTATTACTTTGGCTTCTTGAACAGTATCTCTTTTTAATCAATCAACTGCCACGTGCAAATGCTGATGAATGAAAAAGATATTCCAGATGTTACTTTGGTCAGCAAAGGTGCATCTTTGCAAGAACAAGCAATGTGGAGATCACTGACTGACTGCATCAGTATCATTTCTAGTATGATTGTAGATGCCTGGAGAAAATCACGTGAAAACTAAGCAGTTGTCAGATCAATGTGTTTTTTAATACTTTTTACCACAGGCATCGTTTTAGTTGCTGTTCTTAGTGTTGTTACCCTGTGGGTATTCTCATTGAAAGCATTTGCTTTAAATAGCAAAATAGGGCAGATCTTGTTTCAGTCTTTATTTAATTTCAGTATAGCAATCATATTTTTGTAGTTCGAAGTTCTTTGCTTTTTCTTCTGTGTTGTTACAGGGCCGGGGGGCTGACGGTTGTAGTGCAGAGCAAAAGGTGAACATGTTCATAGGAGGTAGCTTAAGACATAACATTGACATCTAGTAAGCAAAAGAACGTAGCTCTGGATATTTTGGTATAGTTTAAAATCCTACCAGGCAGAGAGCAGAGTATGATACTTCCATTACATAACAGTAGAAGTGTTGCTGTATTCTGTCAGAGTTGACTTAGTAAATACTGTTCCTAGAAAAATGTATTGTGAGAAGGTAAATAGATGCTAATAAACAATCTTGGGTTTGGTTAAATCTGTTTTGTTGGGGTCGCCTGTGTCCAAACAGAGCGGACCTCACAGTGGCCTGTCTGATTGATTCATATATCTAGCTCTTGAGCTTTATGGTTGTAGGACAGAAATATGCAGGAATCACCCAAATGATGTTATATAATGCATCTTTCTAGCAAGCTGAGAGAGTCTTTGGGAAATGAAAGGAGCCAGTCTGAATTTGGACACTGCTATTGCTAGTCTCTGCTTAGAAGTGACTTTCTTCACTTGAGCAGTGTTGGTGCTTCTGGCACTTGAGCATCCTTTCCAGATGAAGCCATTCATTCCCAGGCTGATGTAAAATGTTGTTTCTGAATGACTGAAGCCAAGAACCACCAAAACATTTCTTTCTGAAATAAAAACAAAACAAACACCACGAGGCTGTCTTGAGTGCTTCTTTACTGTTTTTCAGGGAGGTTGCTAAATAAACCATTAGCTGAAAGAAAAAACAAAACAAGAGTTATTCTGCTACCAAATCACAGTTTGACTGCTATAATTCTAAACTCTCAGGAAGTCATTTCAGCTTTGCTTGCTGCCTTAGTCCAGGTGATACGGACTGGGAAGTGTTCAGTATTCCCTCACATTACATCTGACAGCAAAATAGACGTCTGCTGCCAAACAGGAACTAACCAATCTAGGATCCAACATGTGAAAGTGTGTGTAGGTCTTCAGAAAGTAGAGCATTTTGGGTAGGCTTACTTCAGGCATTCTACTTAATATATGATTTTGGTTTAGAAATAAATTTTCAGGTCTATAGTTTTGAAGCCAGTTTGAATATTTAAGCTTACTTAGAGGTCTGTGATCTACAGAGGAACGTGGAGAATGTTGATGAATGAGGAAAGAAACTTTTAAAAACAATTATAATGTTCCATTGATGGAGTAAAGGTGGAATTTTGTGTTTATGCAGTGGAAGATGTGTTTGGGAGGGAGTAAAAACTGAGTCATTTAAGGGAAAATGATGTGTGATGGGAGTGCCTTGGGATCTTTATTTATCTTCCAAGGTATTTGACATAGCTCTGAAAGAGAAGCTTTGAGGGGGTGAGATTAACAACATCTAAATTAGGATTTCTATAGGTATGTTCAAGAAGATGAGGCTGTCTTCTGACCATCCCTGCTGCTGGAAAAGGCAGCCTCAGTAATTGCAGTATTTCTGAGGAAACAAGGCAGTTGCATGCATTTTGGTGCTGAGCTGTTTCTTGGTCTGCTTCTGCTTCATCATGGCCTTGATTTCCCAGCTAGCAAAAGAATCCCTTCCCCTCTCCTTTTTGCTGCCTGTGATGAGCTGACTCTGGTTAAAGAAAATTCCATCCTCCCCTAAAGTGTTTGAAGTCTGTATCGTAGCAGAGCATGAAACTGTTAAGTCCTTGATTTAGTTGCAGGAAATGATGATCCAGAGTTGTGTTCATGGAAGAACTGTTTTGTTGGGTTTTTTTTTTGTTTTTTTTTTTTTTGTAGTTTGATCTAATGTGTGATTTTCTGAAAGCCGTTTGCTCTTGATTTCCTTACCCCTCCTGCTTCCTCCCAGGCCTGTTGTGTCCCTACTCTGGGTAGCATCTTTTGTGAACTTAAAAGTTGCACTGTTCTGTTACTTGTAGTTTAGCAGCCAATTCGCTTAGTGACACTTTTTGCTGTTTTTGCACCCTTTTCTTCTTCTGACTTTGTTTTTCTCTTCTCCTAAGCTTGTTTATTCCTACAGAAAGGCCACAAAAGCGGAGGGAGCTGTTTGTTCCCATGCTTCCTATATGTTAGTTCTTTCCCAGAATCACCATCAGGAGTAGGGAAGGTGCTCCTGTGCAATGGCCTTATCACAGTTAAACTCCTCTGCTTCTGGAGGAGCGAATGGTAAAAGGGTGGGAGAGTAAAGATTGAAGTGATGGGGGAAGAATGATGTAAGGCCTTGGTCTACATCGGGACCGAGGAGTGGAAAGTGCTTGTGCTGTGCAGCTGTATGTTGCAAGAAAATAAATATCTCATTTTCACTTTCATATTCCTATTAAAACAAGAAGAAAATTCTGACTCCTTGCCTCTGTAAATGGTAAAAGTCTTACTGACTGACTTGATTATCTAAATTGCTGCTACATGTTCTTTCTTTCCCCAAAACCATGAGCACACTTAGCTTGCTGTGCTGTCATGAGGCTGGTAAATACTGCCCTTGTTCTACCAATGAAAAATTTTGAGATTAGGGAAAACAACTTACCCAAGGCTTTTTGTTCCGTGGAAGTTAACTGGGTGTGATCTGAGAAATACAGAATGTGTTTGTAAATCTGAAAACAAATAGTAAGTGTGAATCAGATGAATGCTCGCAGTTTTGAGGTCTTGGGGTTAATGGTTTAGTTTGCATGCAGCCACCTGGCAGTATGGTGTCTCTTCAGGCACTGGATGGTATGCTGTACCTAAAAAGCTTAGTCGTGCACTGCCTTCTTTCAGCATCTTTGTAGCACTGTGTTAACCATTTAGAGAGGCTTCTTTCAGAAATCAGACCTGGAAACTGCCTGCTATATCCAATGAAAGCTATCCTGCAAGAGAGGCTTGGAACTCTGTCTTGTCTGTAGCTTGGCATTTACAAGCTCTGTTGACACTCCGTTCCACAAGCAATGAAGA